AGATCAGCATTATATATATATATATATATATATATATATATATAATTGTAACAATGTAAAAGTCTTTACTTTCACTTTTGATCAATTTAATGCATCCTTGCTGAATAATTTCAGCAAGTATTAATTTCTTTAAAAAAAAAAAAAAGTGTGTGTGCCCACAAGAAGCCCACACTGCTTGTTTCTTGTTTCAAAACATAAAAAGAAAAGACACACACACACACACAAAAAGAACATGTTCTGGGTTTTTTTGTTCTGTTCTGAACTCCAATCTGAAGTCACAGAGAAGGGGAGTTCCAGAGAAAGGGAACAAGGGGGTTACACAGCAAAGGAGAAGGAAAACAAAAAGAAAAGGCAGCGAATTGAGCAAATACTTAAACACGAGTGCAAAAGAGATTCCTTAGCCTGCCAAACTTTTCCAGAGCTCCCAATTAACCTGCTCTGTTTGCTGTTAGTGCAGCTCCACATGTTTCTGGCTAGTGTTTTCATAGCCGCAGGCTTTGTCTGATGTTCCCTACCCTTCTAGAGGCTTTTGAATGCTCAGAAATGACATGCTAGCGTTTCTTTGTTCTGTCTGTTGTTCAGAGTGTCCTGGTTGAATTGTTTGCATGAAGGAGTCAGCAGATAGGGCCTAATCACTACAGATGAGATAATATAACGAGCTGTGTTGTCACGAAATCCCTATGGAAGGTTCGCAGTTTTTGCTTTGCCAGATTCCCTGCATGTGTTCGTGTTGAGAGTCAGGTGTGCGGTTGAGGGCTGATTGTAATCGCCCATCGCTAGAGAACTTTCATTAGTGCTGGAGGTGTCTGGGAAAGTGGGAGCATTAGAGAGACTAAGAGAGAAAGCGAGACTTCTGTGATGGAGGTGTTTTATTGTTATGTAATTTATTTGTGGCTGTGTTGTATTTGTATACATCAAAATGAAATCCCTGAGCTATTTGATGGAAATTTGAGCAAATAAGCAAATACCTTTATATAATAATTTTCAAGGAACTACAGTTATTGCTTAGTCATTGTGTATTTCTCTTCAAAATCATTTTCTTTTTTTCTAGCGGATATGGACAGCAATAATGATGTAGCGCTCTACTCTGGTCTGGCTGCGGGTGTAGTTACCGTCGTCGTGCTGGTCATTGCTGTAACGCTGTACAGGCGGAACCAGAGCGAGTATGGCGTTGATGTCATCGACTCGTCCGCGCTGACCGGAGGATTTCAGTCCTTCAGCTTCAAAAGTGCCAGGCAAGGTGAGTCAAAACAACAATGTCAAATTGATCCAAGTGCATTTATGACTCACACCATAATTACAGTGCGTGCAAGGCAGAACTGTGAAAAAAAAGGGGGGAAAAAATCACATTTATTCTACTTTTCTTTCCCCACAGTTTCAATTCAGCTTGAACTGTTTAACCTGCAAACTCCATTCAAATGTTAAAGATGTTTTGAATTAAGTTGATTTTTCTTACCCCATACGCAATTTGTTTCTTGTTTTAAGCCTCATAATATATATTTTTAGATTTATGCTTAAAACACCTAAAAACACGGGAATACGATTTTCTTTTTACACAGTTTTGCTTGTAAGTTGATCTTGTTCTATTTTTTTATCTGATCTGGTTCTATTTATGTTTTGTTTTCATTTTATATTTCACGCAGCTGGTTCTAATAATCAAAAGATTGTTGATGCATTTGTCTTGATAGTTCATTTGGATCTCCAGTTGCCTCCAATTATGAACTACAGAGACAAATGCAAGTTTCAGTTCCATCGTAATTTATAGTTTTATAAGGGCTACACATCAAGGTTTGGCTTGGTTACTATGATCCAGATTTATTTTTATTTGTTTATGTTTTTGTTGTAGTTGTTGTTGTTGTTGTTGTCTATTTATTTTAGATTGCTGGAAAATTGCAAAATCACATAAATCAGAGTTTTAAACTATTATAAAGTATAAAAACTATATGTGACCCTGGACCACAAAACCAGTCATAAGGGTCAATTTGACATTGAAATTGAGATTTATACATCTGAATAAACAAGCTTTCCATTGATGTATGGTTTGTTAGCCTGTGCAATAATCATGTTGTCTAATCAGCATCTTGATATGCCTCACCTGTGAGGTGGATGGATTATCTTGGCAAAGGAGAAGTGCTCACTAACACAGATTTAGACAGATTTGTGAACAATATTTGAGAGAAATAGGCCTTTTGTGTACATAGAAAAAGTCTTAGATCTTTGAGTTCAGCTCATGAAAAATGGGGGCAAAAACAAAAGTGTTGCGTTTATAATTTTGTTCAGTGTATATCCGTGCGACTTAAGACTGGTTTTGTGGTCCAGGGTCACATTTAATATAAATTTATAATATTTTCTAAGAAATCAAAAATTAATTGGAAGTTGGCACATAGTTATCACTTAGTTAATGGATCTCCTACGGATGACAATCAACATTTTCTGAGGGATAAGTACTTCTTTTCACTGACCGTTTGCTAAAAGAGTAATATAATTCATTTTTAAGAGCCCTTTGCTTCCCATTTACCTGGCTGAGAAAAACATACCTTGCCAAAAATATATTTTTTTACCTTTCTGAACTTCTTGTAAAGCATTCCCTCACTTTACTCTGTTTCTTGTCTCTTTGCGTCTCTGCTCTAAACCAGAGCTAGAGGGTGTTAGTTGATTTACTTTCAATGTCTCTCTTCTCTCCTTTGGCCCATCTGACACCCCCAGAAAAGAGATTGATTTTGATGGAGGGGTGCAGAGAGCCGAGCACTAGTTCTCTCTTGCTTGTCTGTTCAGTAATAGGGCCTGTTCGCAGAGCTATCACTCTCCTCGGCCCCCTAAACACCACCATCACTACAGACACACAAACACACACACACACACACACGTATCACCAGATGTCTCGACAGGAAGTTTCAAAGTGCTCATTGAGGAGCTAAACACAGTGAGGTGATAGATGCCACAGTGTACCCGTCAAATGCTTAAAAACGTCAATGAAATGATGGATGGATAAAAGGATAGATGGATGCAGAGTGCGTAAGAACGATCCAAAAAGTGAGGGAAGATACATTATAAACCATATCAGTCTGGCTCATGAATATTAATTAGGTGACATAACATTAGTAGTCATTACTGATTTGCTGAAAAGCAATAATGGATGGATGGATGGATAGTTAGATTTAATTAATTGAAATGTGCTAGTTGATGCAGTTCACTTTAAATACATTTGCCTAGAGATCTGATAACTATGGAAATCTTAACTCATTCACTGATGCATTTACGACTCCAAAAACCTGTTGAAATATCGTTGCAATAACCTGTTGCCTAGGCGACAGATTTTTGACAGCGCTGCCAATACACGTACAGCAGAGAACGACTTTGATAGACACTCGTATCAAGCAAGACAACTGTTGTCATGGAGATCGGAACCTTTAGCCTTGTGTGACAACTCTCACACATTTAGATTTTGAATAGATCTGCCAAAGGAGAGGTTTCAAGTGTGAGCTGCAGTCTATCCTCCCGGGCCTTAGTCCAATCTGAGAAAGAGAAAATGAGTCCCTCTCACACCTCTTTTCGCCACCTCTCAGGGAAGTGCTTTCGTTCAGCCATTGCTTTTTGATGAATAAAACAGATTGAGGGGTGTCTGTGTGAGTGTGATGTGTTTTCGTTATCTGTCAGAACTCTCAGCAGAGCTCATAATGAAACAAGTGGGATCACTTCTCACTGCTGTAACAGCTGCTTCTAATAATCGAAAGATTGTTGTTGCATTTGTCTTGATAGTTCATTTTGATAACTGGAGGCATTTGGTTCCATCATAATTCATAATTTTAAGAAAAGTTTTTGTCTCAATTTTATGCTAAGAGTTTAATAAGGGCTGCACACCAAGGTTTGGCTGGTTACCATGATTCATTTACACCCTCCTGGTAGATGCTGTCCACAATCTGGAAAGCATCTGTCTCCTTTGAATGCTATTAAAAAATTATATCTTGCAAGTTATAGTGTGTGTGTGTGTATATATATATATATTAGGGCTGTCATCGTTAACGCGTTAACGCATGCGATTAATTTTACAATCCTTAACGCGTTAAAATAATTTAACGCAATTAACGCAAAATTACTGAAGCACAATTTCTATTCTAACCCTTTAACCCAATTTTGCTTCTCTGCTTGTGATCAGATCATTTTAAGCTGCTAAACTCTGGGAAAGTTTTCAGTCCAATGATCCAGTTAGTGAATGCATTCAAACAATCCGTCCAAAACAGCGCTAATATAAAGGAAACCAGGCTGATTACATCAGAGATTGCAGAGAGAACAGAGACTCGCATTGCGTTTTAAGTTAATTATTCATTCCAGTGTGTTTCGCTTTAAAACACGAGCTCTGTTCGGTATCGCAACTTGGCTTCTCTTAAACTTAAAAAAGCTCTTTGCTGTTGCACTGTACACATACTATAAAATTCCAAAAAATTTTCTTTCATATGTGCTTGTATGGGCTCCTTATATCATTTGGTGTCCTTTTGGAGTTTCTAAGTGTCCTTTTTTAGAAAGACATCTAAATGTATCTTGAAAAAAGCTTGCAGAATATATAGATTTTTGAGAATCACCCTTCAGTCTTTTGGTTTACTTTGCTGGATATAGCAAATGATGACAAAATAAACATTTGAAACAAGATAAATGGTCTATGCTTAATTTCATGAAGTGTGCGATTAATCGCGATTAATCACAGAAAAAGGATGTGATTAATTAGATTAAAAATTGTAATCAATTGACAGCCCTAATATATATGTATATTAATCTTGAGCCAATCATATATTTGAAACGTGTTCGTAAAACATGTATTTCACAAAACATTGTACTTATATTATATAGAGAGAGATGCACTAATAAAGTTTTTCTGTGCCGATACGTATATCCAATTATTTAGAATGATAATAAATGACACAATTTTGAAAGAAATGCAATGTAATAACTTTTATGCTTTCCATATCAACATGTTTCCATGTTTCAGAGTAATTGCTCTCAGTTTTAAATAGAAGACATTAACATTCTTAACTCACATTAACTGAATTCACTTTTTTTAAACAATCAGCCAATGTCTGATAGCAGAGATAATTGCTTTTAATGTATATACATCAGTGCATCCCTAATAAATAAATAAGTATATTATTATTTTTGGCAGAATATACAGATCTTTTGAAAGGGTGTCAGTGGTGATTTTTTTTTCCTTAAAAACTAACCAGCCAAACCATGACCCACTGAATTGAATGAACTCTACTCAAAAACAGGGCTGCATTTCTCTAGTATTCAGCCCACACAGAATCCGTGAAGTTTTTAACATTTTCAGAGCTTATTGTGGGCGGGGGATCAGTGGAATCCTGCAGAATGGATTTAAGTATGTTAAAAGTTGCTGAGAGTACTACGCTCGTATTGGTAACTGAAGGCATTAATAAATTATTAATGTTCAATAAATATTTAATGTCTGCTAAATATTAAATGATTTATTAAACAAACATGCAAAACCCAGGGATGTACTATAGACAACTTTTTGAATGATGGATGTTTGAATTCCTTGGAAACCTGCAGAGCTTTCGGTTGAATTCTGCAGGTTCAGATTCAGTGAAGGTCTACTCATCAACATAAAGACACAATTCTATGTGTATAGTAGACCTACTGTACAGATACTGTTGGGTCTGTAGTTGTACACTTATGTATGATCGAAGGTCAAGCATTCAAAAATGTAGCCAACAAAATTACTGCTATTTGTCTGTGATGCACACACATGAGTTTCAAGCTGTGTCTGAGTCAATCCAAAGACGTCTAAAATGATGAAAATCCAAGGATGTCTAAGATGAAAAGGCGAAATCTAGTTCTTTGATTTCTTATTGTTTTTTATGTAATTTATTAAAAAAACTTTTCAAGTAATTCATATTTTAATTAAAAATGCATATTTTTTATTCATACACCATGAATACACTTGAGTTTACACACAGGTTTTTATATTTTAAAAAAATCAAAATTTGTTTTAAGGTAAGTTTGTTATCATTTTAAACATAGAGTTTTCTAAATTAATATTAATCATTGTAATATTAAACAAAACCTCACAACATTTTAAAAATGTATAATAATAAAATATTATTTTATTTTTATTATTATTATTATTATTATTATTATTATTATTAAGATTTATGCCTCCTTATTTTGGTCACACTTTAGTTTGGGGACCAATTCTAACTATTAACTACGACTTTTGCCTCAATAAACTCATAATTTGCAGATTATTAATAGTTAGTAAGTTAGTTGTTAAGCTTCTTTTATAGAAGATGTGTATTCAAGCCATTCTATGTATGAATTGCATTTTAAATGCATTTTTGAATAGTCTAATAAATCCAGACAAACAAATGAGCAGCATGTCATTGACCCGTCTACCATACTTTGTGTTCCAGGTAACCCTCTGTTAATGAACTCCTCCATGCAGCCAGACCTGACCGTGTCACGGACCTACACTGGCCCCATCTGTTTCCCTGACTCCATGGAGAAGGAGCTCATCCCTGAACCTGCACTCTTTGACCCCCTTCCTGACCTCAAGGTCAAAGTTCACAGCTCCTTTATGGTGTCCCTGGGTGTGTCTGAGAGGGCGGAGTATCATGCGAAAGCGCCTTCCCAAACATTTCCTCGCGGTGTGGTGCAGGAGATGGGAGGCGGTGGAGGCACGCTGGGTGGGAGAGGGAAGAGCCAGCTGGCTCCCGTCCAGCCAGCTCTGCTCTCCAGTATGACGACTGGCAAGCGACCGCTCAGGACCAGCGGGGTGTTCGGGCACGGTGGAGGACGACTGGTGGTGCCCAACGCAGGTGTGTGTTTACTGCATGCTGTAGAAAGATTAAAGAAGTGTGAGAGAATCAAACACACTATGTGAAAAAATGCAACAAAGCAAACTGCAGCTGAATATGGAATAGTTTCAGTCAACAGCCCATTCACAGAAAATCTGATGCTTATTTAGAATATTAGACATTTAGCATGTAAGAACTGGCAATCAATTCAAATTCAATTGTTCATGTTCCACGGGAATTGGAATTTGAAATTTTAATTTGGAATGACTTGAAGGGGATTGTTATCATTGAATTATAATTCATATATCCATTTCATTATGCATTGTTTAAGGCAGGGATTTAAATAAGTAAATAAAAATTATAAAATATAATACAATTATAAAAATGATAGTATATATATTTTCTCCTATCTTTAGTGTCACATAATCCTTTAGAATTATATCATTCTAATATGCTGCTTTGGTGCTCAATAAACATTTCTTATTACTATCAGTGTTAAAAAATATTTGTGCTGCTTAATATTATTGTGTAAATATGTTTTATCAGGTTTTTTTATGAATACAAAGTTTAAAAGAACAGCATCTAATGTCTTTACTGTCTCTTTTGATGAATTTAATGCACCCTGCTAAAATAGTTTTATTATATATATATATATATTATATATAGTTTTTATGTTTTATAACATTTTGTTTTTATGTATTTGTTTTATTTTTTCTTTTATTTATTAATAGCAAGTTAACAAGATAACCTTAAGATATTCCACATTATTCTAAAAGTTCATAAAAATAAAAAAAAATAATAAAATGCTGTTGTTTACATGTCCTTTCTAAGTGGGTGGTTCTATGCCAAAATGACTTGCTTCTTAAGTCTAGGGAGAGATGAGCTGGTATGCACACACACACACACACACACATACCAGTCTCTTCTTTATTCTCTCTCCGTTTCTCTTTTCATGTCTTTCTCTCTCATGCACAGTATATCCAGTGCACACAGCACTCAGTGGCTGAGAGAGGGGGCAGCTGACTGAGATGCAGACAGACCAGCAGGGTGGCATTGATTTAGGAGTCTCTAGGGTCCATCTCTCTCTCCATCTCCCTTCTTTACACTCCCTTGCTCTTTTCCACCTCTGATCCTGTCACATGCAGTAAAGAGCCTTGACAGGCTGGCAGAAGTGTGTGAGAAAGGTTAGAGGCTAGTGCATCTGTTCTCGCTCAGCCTTTTTAAGACCTTTACAGACGAATAGTGACTCTTACAACTCTACAGGCGCCTTGTCACTTCACAAGGTGTGTGCACATGTGCGTTGTACACAAGCCTTCGTAAAGGGGTTTTTGAATTGATTTTTAAGAAGACGTGTTGTCATGCATGAGTCCCACAATATAAATGTTCAGTTGTTTCTAAATTCCAGGCTTGCACCAAACTATTCATTCCGCTGAAAGGGCTTCTGGGAAATTAAGTGTGTTTCCAAAAGAGGAACTTTGTTTGTTCCAGTTTAGCATCAAAGTCCCATTCCATCATGCTGTCAAATCATATAAATTGTTTGGTTTTGTGTGTGTGTGTGTGTGTGTGTGTGTGCTAGGTGTGAGTTTGCTGGTGCCTCACGGTGCGATTGAAGAGGACACAACCTGGGAACTGTACATGAGCATTACCCAGCAGGACTCCAGGTAATATATCCAGGACACTGACGCACAAAATCGAGACTGTATTCAACTCGCTCTTCTGCTCTGTTCCAAAACCTACAGAGCTGCCTGCAGAAAAATAATTTTAAAACCCGACGTGGAGGCTGATCCAACTTAATTATGCTGTCTTGTAAGATAACTCATTTTTGCCAAATTCTGAGGTCTTTTGTGGAGAATTGCAACAAATGTAGGGAAATACAGTACATAATAGATGGCGGACAAAACCTTATCAGTCATTCAATACTGAAAAATATAGATAAAAATAATTAAATAACAAATTGACCAAAACCAGTGACCATTAGGTTTAGTGTTATGGTAACACTTTACTTAAAGCCTTTATGTATAATTCATTATAAAGGGTTGTTAAAGGGTATAATGCATTATAATTATTCATAATGTGCGTTGTAATACATTATTTCTTGTCAGAAATAATTATAACAGAATTTTAAATGCACAATGAATTGATGTGTTATAATGTATTAACTGTGGTTACAATTATTCATGAGATTTTACAATGCATTATAAGGTGCACTACAAGGCATAATTAATGCATTAAAACTACTTTTATAATGCATTAAAATAAAGGCTTCAAGTAAAGTGTTACCAAATATTTCTATTATAATATTTCACTGTAAAACAAGACAACAAAAAAGTAATGTATTTAACTAGTATTTCAGCCAGAAGCAATGGCTTGAAATTAAAAACGTCTTAACGCTGGATTAGTTTCAGTTTTTGTCTTCTCAAGATGTTAACTGATGGACTGGAGTGCTGTGGATTACTTGTGGATT